GGATTTAAAAGAAAAACCATGGGGTATAAAATATGGGTAATCAAATGTCATACATTGTGCTCTTTTTTTCTTTTAATCATAAATTGTTGCCAGTTTGGACTAACAACCAATTTTTGTCTGGTAGTGGAGACAACTTAGTCCAGTATGCAGAAGGAAAAAGGCTTGTTCTATCCTGAATTATTTTCTTCTTCCCTCTCTTTCAGTTAATTTAGACTTTTCATAGCTTTGTCAGTTCTGTTTGTGTATCTAACACACACCTGTTCGCAATTGTTACTTTAGTGTAAGTTATATTTGAAAAATGGAACATTTACTGTATTTCTCAAATAAACTGCTGTGATATACTTGAATAAAGGTGCAAACTGTAACTTTGAAGTGCTTGTTTTGTTTTGTTTTTTTAAAGTAACTTTGACAAGTATTAGCCTAAAATACCTGCAGTACCTTTGATGGCCACTTGAGGCTGGATTTGAAAGGAGTTAACCCTCAGACTCCCATATTAAAATGGGATGGTTTTATTTATTCATTAGCTAATTCCTTACTTTAAGAAAACTCAACTCAACAAGAAGTATTCTCATCACTCTTGACACTCGCAATCTTTTTTTTTTTACAACCGCAGCTATCGCCATCTGGTGGCCTTCCGATAGAAGGCAGTTCCACATTTGTTGCTTACAAACCAGTGTGTGACGTCGCGCCGACTGTGGCTTTTATATACAATCAGTTTGGCGGAACGATGAAGCCGTACTAAAAAGCAAGCCTAGGAAACCACGGGTTTTTCAGAATAAGGTTAAAAAGTCTATTCAAAGTTGTTGCATTAAGAGCCCTGATTAACCCCTGGGGCAACCTCAAAATCCCACCCTTTCGTGAACCTCGGGACCAAAAATGGTCCCAGGTTGCCCCAGGGGTTAATAAAGTGTTGATTAAACCGGACAACACATAAAAAAACCAGACTTGACAATGTGTTCATATTCTGGTATATGTATTAGGTTTCAATAATAACAATTGTTAAGTTTTCCTTTTTGGGTACAGATTTACAGACGTACCATTTTCAATTCAGCCTATCATTTTTTTTTTTTCTAAAAACATTTATACAGAATTGCCTTCAGGTTTTAAAATATACATATTTCCTCGCTGTATTTACAGAATACCAACCCGACATAATTTGCAGGTTGCAATGAAACATTGTATAAAACAAGCGGATTTGGGAAGGAGGAACTTGAAACACAGAAGAAACATGGATAAACAGATAACATCTATGATAACAGTCGCGGGTGAATATTGTGCTTTTTTTTTTTTTCCCGGAGGAATTGTCCCAACTTGAATCTGATCAGACGCCAGCGGAAGAAGGAATTCCCTCTCTCTCTCTCAGTGTGGTGCTTTCTTTATCCCAGAGAGCAAGTCAGTGTGAATAAAGGCAGGAAAAAAAAGCCACTCACCCTCCAGATGATATCTCAATCAGACTGGAATTGTACAAGAACAAAGGAGGGGGGGAAGAAATCTCTTTTTAAACCCAACCTGACCCCGATTTGATAGTTTTTTTTCCAATATTTAGAGAGCCATTAAAAAGGCCCAGGTTACACAGAGTTCAGAATCTGGTTTTAAAGTTACCCCATAAATCTGCACAGTTGGAACTTTGCTTCTGGTTGCAGTGGAGAAAGAAACTCATCGGATGCACTGATGAAGAGGAAAACAGTCGCGTCGCTTCCCTTCGCTTTTCCCTCCTGTCCTTCAGATGTCGCTACTGGAAAAACGTTTGTATGCCACAAAAACTTTCACAAATGCACGACTGCGAAACCTACGCCTGCTAACGTGTGTTTTACTCAAAGGGACACGAATCTGGACCTGCAATGGCTTTCAGCTGAGTCAGATTATATGAAAGGAAATGAAGGTGTTGAGTTTACAGAGATATGCACTGAAAACAAAAAACAAAAGGCAGTACCAGAGGGGGGGAAACAGACTTCATTTAAAAACCCTGGAGTTTTCAAATTACTAAGAGGGACCCTGTGCCTGTTTGATGACAGAGAATGAACTACTACCATGACACATACAGTACTGGAGGTTGGGAATCGTCACCTGACATGGCTGAGTAGTTAAACATGAGTACATTCTGCACAGGGTGTTTTTGACTTTATCTTCAGGTGTGGGGCAACAGTGTGGATGAATGCTGACGTCAAGTCCAGAGGTCGCCGACAGACCGAGCGAGCGATCGGCCCGTCTCGAAGCTGCTGTCACACATCGTCCCACAACTGGAGCTCAGCTGGTGTTAAGCGTTGACCCAGTGCGACCCGGTCCGAGCCACCCTCAGCCACTCTGGATATACTTTTTGATGACCACGCAGCCGTGTCTGAAGAGCGGGCAGGGCAGTGACTGCAAGAGTGTCCAAGTGTTGGCGCAAGGGTCAAATGTCTCCATGCTGCCGAGGGCCGGACCCTCGCTGCTCACGATGCCTCCCGTGGCGTAGATCTTCCCGTCCAGAATGACGGCGCTGCATAAAAAGACACAAAATTTTCTTTCGAATCAAGGATTGGATGCACGAAAAGTGACATTTTTCTAAATGTGAACACGATATAAAAAGTTATGTGTTCCCATTTGATAGCAAGCTATCAGTTTCCCTGATGCTAAACTAAACTATATGCAATACTGAATCCTCTCATATCTACCTCGCAAAAAACAAACGAAACTAATCAAAGCAACAGCCATTCACTGCTTTTCTATAACATCTGTTGGAGGTTAAATCTGCCTCTAACAAACAACAAAGTGGTAAAAGCTGTTGACTGTTCCACAGAATGGCTGAAAAAGAAAAGAATCCACATGTTGCAATGGCCCGATCAAAGTCCAGATGTCAACCCGTTTAAAGTGCACTGGTGGGACCTTAAAGAGAGCTGTGCATGGCCTCAGTGAACTAAAGCAGCGCTGTGGTGCCAAAGATTCCTGTGCAACAATGTGAGGGAGCAAGAAAGAGCAGGTTACTACTTCAAGTTACTATTGTGCCACTGAGTCAAGGGGTTTTTAAGAGTAGCTGCTGTGCAAGTTTGTCAACAGTGCTACACCAAACTGTGTGGCTCCATAGTGCAGTGGGTTACAAATTAGCCGAGCAAGCGAAAGATCCCCGATTAAATCCTGGGAGGAGACGCAAACTTTGGGATCGCATCCGGTGTAAAAACAAGAAAGGAGCAGCCGAAAGTAGCTTTAGTACAAAAGCGACACATCTGTAACTGACTGTGCCGCCCAGTCACCTTTAAGTGAAATCTAAAAGATGACAAATCTTGATTTTGTACGGGAAAGCGAGCATTACGCGCGCATCGACTGTTAGGATAAACAGTAATGAGAGGTAATCAGTGTCAGGAAGATAAGTAGCTCAGTGCAAGTATGAGCTGCTTTGATAAAGCTAGCTCTGAGTCACAGCGGCAGAAATATTGTTGGTGGCGTTAATCACGACGAGACAACAAAGCCACACAAAGACGGCATCTCCACAAACATGCTGATTGTCACGCTGGGGGCCACGCCTGGGATTATTGACATCACTCGCACTTGCTCTCGACAACATGGGCTAAGGTGGGGAAGGGTTGGGGAAGGGTGAGGTGGATTAATTTATATATAAAAAAATAAAAATACATAAAATCTCACACATTACATTTTCTCTCGAGGACGAGAGAGAGGAGGGGGGGGAAAAAAAACTACTGAAAAGCAAATATCTGTACAAATGTGCTCATTTGATATGAGAAACAGAAACAGGAGTTTGTGTGCGGAGAGGATTAAAACTTGGGCCGTAAGCTGATTAGGGCTTTGTACTCCTATTGGGCTTTGGAACGATCTGCATTTACATAAGGTGCACGCTCAAACACACAGACGCGCTCGCACGCGGCGAGCAACATGCCGTCCTACTGCACAAATTCACAGCACTGTTAGGACCGCGAGAGGAGAAGGGAGAAAAAAAAAGATTATTACATAAAGCCTAAATCTACTCAGAGAGAAAAGCACAGCTGATCCAAAATGGAGAGAGCGCGGGGCGAAGCCTGGAGGCTGCTCTTCCTGATAAACAGAGGGGAGGTGCAGGGCCTGCGGAGGGCCGGACGCAGCCAGGGGAAAATATCTGCTCTCCTGCATGATGACCCTCCTAGACTTCGTGCACTGCAGATATTTTTCCGAGTTTCCTGTCTGACAGCGGCGTGTTTGTTGTCCCCCCCCAATCCCATCCCGCCCCCCCCGGCCGTGCATCTCCTCCCCTCTCTTGTGTCAGACTTAGTTAAATGTAGCAGAACAGCTGCCTGGCGTGTGCTGGTGCAGCTTATCAATAACTCTGACAACATGATTTATGGTGTACGTTTTGCACATAAGATCACTGTCTGTAATTGCCTCCCAAATGTATTTCATGCATGCTTTTTTTTTTAATCTATTTTTTTTCTCGACTTCTGCAAGGAAAAGAAAAGGGGGAGAAAAAAAGGAGCGAGAGAGAGAGAAGAAAGGGCTCAGGGCCTAGAAAACTGAGTTCATTATCCAGCGAACTGCACACCTCAGTGGCTCGAGTTGACTGGGATATTAGGGTGTGATCCCACTGCTGTTCATTTTCATTTTTCTCCCTTCATCAGCCATTATGGCCTCGCTAATGGTGGGAAAGTTGCAGATCGCAGTTGTACTACTTCCTGTTTTTTTTCTTTTTCTTAGGAGACAAACGTGACTCTCTGCACAAATACGCCGCCCCCTCCTCTTTCCGCCTCCACTAAAACCTAAATGACTCAGATTTCAGTTTAATAACTCGAAACAGTCTGTAGAAAAGTTGATTAAATCAAGCCGCCTCAGATGTGTCTTGTTTCTCTCTCTCTGTGACAGACGGCGGCGATACCGATCAGACGGATTTAACAGTCGCGTATTAGAAAGCAAATTTCCCGCCGAGGGAGAATTCTCGCAATCGAGCCGCATCGCGTTGGAAAAGGCTGTCAGCCCCGTGGCGTTGTTCGAGTTTTAATTAACTGGCCTGAAAACGTTTTTTTCCCCGTGCGACCGTTTACCTGTGTTATGACACAAAGACTGACAGATTACTAATAAGATTGAGTTTTAGATTGTTTTCAGGCTGTTTAATAATGTCACAGAGGGTTTTTTTTCTTAAAGCTTCACAAAACACAGAGCTGCAGTTTTGAGCTTTTGAAAAATCTTTTAAATTCCACACTGGGGATTTAACTTGCGTGTGGTGCCGCTACATTAATTATCTCTTACCTGCAGAACTGCCGAGAGTGATTCATGTTGGGACCGGCCTTGATGTTGCCTTTGTCTGGGTCATAGATAGTGGTAGCTCGAGCGTAGGCTCCTCCCAGGATGAATATAAATCCATTTAGGCTCACTGCAGGGGCGTATTTGTTATCTAAAGATATGAGAGACAAAAAAAGGGAGCGAGACAGAGAGAGAAAGGGGAGGGAAAAACAGGAGAGATTTTTTATTTTGAAAAAAAGAGAAAACAGAGCTATTGTTTGGATGTCATTCTCACTCACAGCAGAAATTTCCATTCGGTATAATGACATCAATTTGTTCTTTTTTTTCCCACCCTTCCTCCTGGTCCCCGCAGCGCATGCAAAAACGATCATCATCAACATTCTACTTATCACTTTACAGATATGCCCCACTCAAGATTGCTTTGGAAAAAAACAAAAAACAGAATGGATACCAAAACCGATGAAAAAGCAGAGTTCATAAATCACGGTGGCTTTATTGGGTTCCACTCCAAAATATGTTTGGGCTTAGAAGCAATATAAAAGAGTTACCTAAGTCCCAATAATTCACAATTGCATTAGGCCCCGTGGCACCTCCGTAGATTTATAAAGAACCAAAAATAAGGAAAAGAAAAAGCAATGTGCACATGTATTGGCAATACATGAGTGAACAGGTGGGATACTGCATACTGTGCATGGTGTATAATTCACTCTGACACTGTATATGGCGCGCGAGGAAAGCAGAGGCATTGAAGCAGCACCGCTGCAGAGGTATAGATGATGGGAAACAAAATGAAACAGCGGTTTGCGCGTAACGATGCCGGCTGGAAACCAGGAGTTTGCGAGCAGTGGCCCTGCTGTGCGGGAAGAGGAAATGTATTTCAAACTCCCGGCAATTTCTCTCTAGCAGACTGCAGCTGGCCAATTTACAAGCAGCATGAATAATGCACGGATACTTGGCCGTAAGCTGCTGTCCTCCCCGTTTTCTGCCACAGTGGACGGGCATCCCTCATCGCAAACAGGCACCGGGAGGATTCGAGCCTGACGCCTTAATAAAGGCAGCGCTGGCAGCCCTAAAAAGCCTCACCTCTGTGTTTGATCCAGCTCCCCTTTCCTCTTACCTTTTGCTGAGAGGAGACTGGCATATTTCATTAAAAGGTCAGCTCCGGAGTTCAGAGGTGCTGCTGCTGATGATTATTGAATTGGCTGTGCTGCATTATGTGCTCTAGGAGCGCGCTGCCATGCTGGGGCTCTGTGTATATAGTGCTGCTTTAAAATAAATGATAATGGCAGCAAGTGCCAACCTCCTGGGTTGAAAAATGAAGCCAATGAGAAAGTGCCAAAAACTTAAGCTGCTGGAATGGCCACTTAAGGTTAGCTCCAAAAGTAAGTCAGTCCCTCTAGACTCTAATGCTTAGCTTTACAGCAGAAATAAACATGTACAGCCTGGTACAAAAAACTCATTAAAACTTTAGTAAAGCTTGAAGATGTGCATATTTAAGGGCTTAGACATTCTGAGATTCTGTTGGGTTTTTTTTTTATTCAGTTGTACTAAAAGGTCTCGTCTTTGTGGTAAGAATATTTTATTTGAGCCACTTTTTTAATAGTCAAAAATCTTTTTTGACTCTTTTTTTTATTGCTACAGTTATTTACAGTTAACCAAGTAGACCAGCTTTGTTAACCAAGTAGCTGATGACTCTTGCCCAAATATAGTGACGTTAAGTGAAAAAAAATGTGCAAAGTCTTTTGTAAAATTGTAGTCCACAAACCCGTGGGTAACTACAAAACAGCTACGTTGATCTTTTATTATGTTAGTTAAAAGTTACAGTGTGTAAAATTTCATCACTAGATGTCAGTAGATTGCAGTTGACCAAGTTCTACTTTCATGTGTATAATCCACTGTAAGACAGCCATCTCTGGTCGCCGTCCATCTGTAGTGAATGTAGGCTGTCAGTCGGCTGTTTACCTCAGCTGTCAATATGCGTCCACATTTATTTACAGTGGAGCAGATTGTGAAAAAGTTGTCAGCGAAGCTAAGTTTGTCTGATGACAGTAATACTGAGGTTGTTGAGCATATCTTGAACTTTTCTTGAACTTTTCCGCTGGTAAACTCTTAGCTGCTGTTAGCCTCTGTTAGCTGCTGTTAGCCTCTGTTAGCTGCTGTTAGCCTGTTAGCTGCTGTTAGCCTCTGTTAGAAAAAACTGTGTTTTTAAGTGTCTCTAACATCTAGGTTTGCTAGCTCTCTCTTAGTTGAGAGATACAGAAAATGATTCGCACCCACAGCCATCACGCTTTTCAATTGTCAAACAAATAGTGGATGATCCATACCAGAGTTATTGTTCTTATTCTTAACATTGTTCAAGTTAACACTCAGCAAATTAACTCTCATACGATGTGAGAATGTAGTTAAACAGTTTATTAGAGGTAAAGTGTGAGTTTTAGGATACTCGAGCCTAACATTAGCTGGCTAATTGTTAGCTTATAACTAGCTAATGTTGTCATTTTGCTGGCTCGTTGTTAGCTATCTGGCGGCGGGAGAGTCGCATGTCTGAACTGCTGACAACAATTGTGACAGTTTCTGGAACAAATTAGCATGTTTAGACATGTTTTGGTGTTAGAGCCCTAACTGCAGTTCAGGATGAAGAGGACGATAAGGGCTTGGCGTGCTACATATACTGCTGATCTCTAACCACATACATAAAATACAGTTAGGCAGATTGTCCTTTTTTTCTATCAAATAATCTAAAAAATTATTATTATTCAAGGGCTCAGCCTTGGGTGATCTTGTTTTTTCTGATAAGAACATTTTGTTTGAGCCATTTTTTCGCTAGCCAAAATCTTATATGAGGCTACAATTATTTAGAGTTGTGCTATCCTCCCTTTCAAATATGATTACATTAAGCTAAAAACGCCAAATGCAAAGCTTTAAATGGTCCTGCACACAGCTTTGGGGAACTACATAACGGCTACATCCATGTTTGCTAATGTAAAGCAGGTGTAATGTCTACAACATCCAACATCTTAGTTCAGTGGTGGCATGCTAACATTTGCTAATTAGCGCCAGAAACCTAAGTAATGGAGCTGATGAAGATTTCAAAAGAAAAATTAAGAGCTCATCAAAGTTATAAAGAGTTTGTCCTTGCAGGGTGCCACATTTTCCAAAAGGCACTCGAAGAGTTGTTGAAATATTTCACTTAAAATCCAAACTCATGTGAGGGCTAGAGAAAAAGAGGATCACCAAAGTCATGAATGATTCATCCTCCTGGGACCAGTGTCTGCATGAAATTTCATGGCATATCATTCAGCAGCTGTTGAACTATCTCACTTGTAGACTGACAGAGACCGACTACGCTGCTATTGCGGTTGAAAAATACTGTATTATTCACATATGACGATCCTGCAATCATTTACGCAGAGTGAAATGCAATCTTAAGTTCCACTGCAACCATCTGAGGCGTCAGCCTCAATTTCTGCCCTTGAGAAACAAGTTGCCACTGATTGGTCCTCCTCACATTCTGCCAGACGTGTTTATTTTCTTCTTTTACCTTCCTCGTCTCATTGATATGCTGCTGCCAGTCTTCCTGAGCGTATGTGTGTGTGCCAGCGTAAGCGTGTGTACATGATGTTTTGTGTTAGGTCCCATAAACACAGAACACTCATTTCTCTCTGCTCTGTGCCCGAGGCAGAATAATAACAGGATGCTCTCAAAGGAAAAACCTTCCTCTCTTTTTTCCCCCATTGAAACTCTTGCCATCACTTCCTGCCTCTCTCTAGCGGACTAACAGTAAGCACCGAGTTTGAGTGCTTGGAGGAGTACCAGGCAGGTAAATCTCATAGTTCTTGTTTGGCAAGCCTCGGAGGACTGCTGCTGGGGTTCCACTTCTCTTCCACCGCTTTGGTTTTGTTCTCATCCCTTGGCCTTCGTTGCAGAAAACGAGTCATTTTTTGCTGAAACAACATTGAGATACAGTAAAGGGAGCGCAATCTGTCTGTGTCAGCTGAAAACTTTTCAATTCTGAGATGGACTTTGCTATTCTTGAAATATCGCAGTAGATTTTGTCGGCTTTCGCAGCTCGAAGGTTAGAGAGCTCAGCCAGGAATCCACAGCTGACCACGTTCTACATAAAAAATGAATAAAAAGAGGCAGCAAAACAAGGTTTTAACTCTGCAGCGGTGATAGAAGTATAGCTGTGCCTGCGGGGCAACATGGGCTGACACACTCTCCCGCACCTTGATAAAACAGCTTAGTCACCAAGCCTGGGTTCCCCCCGGGCTGAGGTCAAGGACATCAAACAAAAGAAAACGCACACACCCGCACACGGGTATGATGAATTGTGCAGCTGCTGTCTCAACAAACACCTTGTTCTTCCCTATCTCGTTCCTGCATCAACACCGGCAGCAGATATCCGACGCTGTAAAACCAGCACGCAGCAACAATAACCCACACAAATAGAGTAAAGAACAATTCACTCAATCAGACCAATACTGTTTGCTGTACAGATCTAGACAAGACCGCAGTCTCTGATAAAAAGCCAAACAGCAGCCTCCATCACAAAGCCGCAGCGGCATTACATCGACGCTGAAATGTGCGGCCGATCGCGGGAGGAAACGCAAACAAGGGATAAACAAGACATTCTCCTCCAAACGATGGAGGATGAGGTGATCCACTCCAGCTCGCTGTATCATACCAGAGAGCGTGAGGAAAAAGGACAAAGAAGCGTCAGTTCTCTCTGACAGTAGCTTAGATAAGATCACAACAAGGTAATTGGAGCAGCGAAAAGTTCCCCCTTTTTTTTGCCTCCCTCTTCACACACAATGTCCTTTTATGCAGTGTGAGGAGAATAAGAGCTGCCTTTGAAATGATGGGCCGAAATAGCTGAAAGAGGATGATGTACTTTAATTCAGCATGATGGGTGCATGTCCAATTAGGTCGCTATGGAAACACTCCACCTTCTCCACCTGCTCTCGCTCTGTCACTTTCCCTTCCTCTTCCTCCACTTCTGTAAATGGCGCTCTCGAGGGCCGCGGCCGGTCTGCCGTTACGTCGTTCGGGGGAAACGATCATCCCGACGGTCGGTATCTCGCAGCGGCGCTCCTGCTCCCGGGCTTTTGGAGTCTACCGGTCGACGGGGACCCGTCTGTCAGCTGGGGGACG